GGCGGTAATGAAGGAAAATTGTGAATAAGTTGGGGTTGAGATACCGAGATATTTATTAAATCTGATGAAGGCGTTGAGATGTAAATGAATGTCATACATGTCTTTTCAAATGGTCATTCCTATTTTGTTGACATATACGAATTTGACCAATTTTTACACGTATTACATATTTTTAGGTAATGTGTAATTATTTGGAAATTTAAACTGACAATATTAATTGTAAACTTAGAAATTATTAAATTAATAACCTTAAAATTTGGATTTTAAATTAATTATTTATACAAATATTTACTGGTACTAGCAATTAATTTTAATTATTATTATCTATACAAATAATATAAAATTAAATGTCAACTTACATTTAGTTCATTTTATTATTTAAAATATATGGATAAGTTCTTTTAATTGTGCATGTTTTTTCGGTCTATTTCTTTAATATATGAATTTTTTCGTTTATTTATTTTTTCAGAATATTCTGTATGTGCAGTACATTAATGCCCATTGTTGTAGTTGATTGAAGAATATGTGGTTAAATTTTCTTGTCATTACGTGCGCAACCCCAAACACTACTACCAAAGTAAATGCAAATCATCATTAAACATGGGTAGGTTTCGGTTAATTCAATGTACCCAATGCAGGTGCATGTTGCTTGTAGCATTGGACAAAGTAATGTGAACTTTTTTTTTAAATTTTTTTTTTCTAAACAATGTAATAAAAAAAAAAGAAAAGAAATTACTTTCATCATTGCAATTGCTCTACTAGCCTTGAGTTTTCAAAATAAACAAAACAACCAACCAATTGCATACCAACCATTGCTTTACAGCCATTATCTTCTCCGAATCGGTCAACCCCAATCAACTTCGATATCAATTGCATACCGATCATTGTTGATGTAACTGGATACATATTTGTGAAATTCATCAGTTGTTGTAATCGGAATCTCATACGATTTTTTGGAGTAATCAGCAGGACGGCCAAAGAATGTAGGCTGCGTATCTTCGAAAAACGGTGGATGGCCGGCACACTCGAGCAAATCATATAGGGTTTCAAAAGTTATTTGACTCGAGTTGTAACTCTTAAAACTGTTGCATTCAAAATGTCGACCCCTTCTGCTAACGAAGAATACATCTGTTTTCTATACATCAAACATTAAAAAATGTGTGTTAATCCTATTCAATAACAATGGTCACCTGTCAATTTTTTTTAAAAGTATACAGTTAGATGTTCACATAATTATTTTGTACTTACTCTCTTGGTATTTGATTTAATGAAGAGTTGTAAAGAGTCACAACTAACAATCTTCTTGCTTCCTTTGACTCGTCCTGTTTGCACAAAACATTAAAAGTATTTTGATTTTAATTGAGAAAAAAGAAAAAAAAAATAAAAAATAACCGCTAACTGGTCATTGCCTCGGTGAGTGAACGCCAAGTAATAGTTGTTGAGGGAATGAAACGACTAAACATCTGAAGACACACGTAGAGACCGCAATCGTGCCTGGCGAACAACCCATTATAAGGTAAGAGTCAATGTAATAGGTAACAATTCGAACATAACTTTTACCATGTTGTTTGGTTTCCGTACCAATTTGTTTGTTGTGGAATATCTGGGTCGATCGCCCAGTGGTACCCCATTGCAATATTCTTATCCACGAACCCATCATCATCCCATGAAGACACAATCTGCTCCAGTAGCCCTATCTGGTAACGATAATAAAACATTTCCAATATAAATTTACAAAAATGTATTTACACTATATCATACGGACGTTACAATTTCAGCATGTTGACAATTTCATACGGACGTTACAATTTCAGACACAATCTGCATTGTATTTACCACTCTCTGCGCGAGGGCAATCCTCCTCGCATTTGCATCCACTGAACGTAATGTATCACATACTCGTATAACGGATTTTTTAATATCAACAACGCATATGTACCAGTGCATATTCTCATCCGTTATTGGCAACATTATACTAGAACATTCGTCTGCACAACCGGTGAATATTTTATCTCGAAAGCACACGGCCTGAATCGTTTTGTCGTCGAAAGAACATATAGCCATGGCCTGAAATAAACCTAAATATTTATACGAAATAACATACGAAACATTATATATTCAAATTATGACGATTTTAATTTGAAGTGTCTCACGCAGAAGAATGCAGGTAACACCCAGTCCTCTTTTTTTCTATCTTATGAGTTCCTATTCAATGATACATGTATTGCAACAAAATCAAGGACCTACACACAGCGAATAATTATTGATTGAGACAAGAAAAAAATAAAATTATATATAATATATATATATAATCACCATATATATTGACACAAGAATTTTATTTTCTCACCCCATTTGTAAACCACCGTGGATATTTAATGCTTAACATCTCAGCCCTCGACATTATCCATCCTTCATATTTGATCAACGTATCGCTGACCCAAAATATTGTAGGCATTAATTAAGTACATACAAGAAATTGGCATTACATTTTTCATTATAGAATTGGCGAGCAAAATATAATATATATATATATATATATATATACAACAAATAATTTTGCTATAATGGAGTTCACTTACTTAATATTACGCTCTTCGAAAATGAAATCGGAGGCTTCTTTTTCAACAACCGTATTTTGTTTAAACCATTGGAATACATCTTGTTTCTGGTAGAAAGACCTATTGACAGTGCCTTTTCCTTCCGAGCACTCATCAAAATCCAACTTGTTTGGCTTCAGTCCACCATGAGACGATTTTGATGTTGTATTCGGAGTACGCATTTTTTCTTTTTCTTTTAGAGCCGTATGTGTTGTCTTTTCCTTGTTCACAGTTTTATGAGTTTCATTTTCACATTTGTTGTAATATCACGTCAGATTAATAATATAAATCATGTTTTTAGTTCCGATATAATAATATTTTCGAGTATTATTTTCGGAATTAATTACTTTCAGTCGAGATTACCCGAAATTATTTCCGACGTCTCATTTACGTTCGGAATAATTTTGGTAATTAAGCATCATATTTAATTAAATAATTAAGTATTTAATTATGCTTTATTAAATGATTAATCATGCCTAGCACTGAAATGCCATGGGCATTACGATTAAAGCCATGCAAAATTTATATTTTTTTTAATAATGTCGTACGCATTTTTCTTCAAACAAGGGAAATCACCTCTTTAGTTTAGCATGAGGTGGCAAGGACTAAGGTTGAATAGTCATCCTTTGGTCTCTAGCTAGCCTCCAAGTGTCAAGCAAGTTTTGAGCCAACAAATCAACACCTCATCTTTTTTTTTTTTTTTTTTTNNNTTTTTTTTTTTTTCTTTCGGCTAGTATATAAGGGGGGATATTGGGGCAAATTTTCCCCATCATCTTACAGCATATATATATATATATATTAAGACTTACTACAAAGAAGAGTTTAGTGAGGAGAGTTAGGAGAATTTCCTAAGTAAGAAGCATGCACGCATGCGAGAAGCTTATAGCACGCACGCCACCCGCCGAGAACAACGCACACGCATGGAGGCTTTGATTATCCCGATCAGTTAGTGTGATCAGTCGAGGGGTCAAGAAGGTAACTTCGTTTTACCTTGAGTTATGTTAGCTCCGGTTTTGTTATGATCTTGTTCATGATACGGCATAAGCCGTTTGTGCGTGCGTGTAGTCCATTTAGAGCATGTCATGTTTTAATTCGAATATCTCAAGCAACACTTATGTATTCAGCCATGTCATGCAATATTATGCTCAGTTAACTTCATATTGCGCGAACAAGTTTCACGATTTATTGGTGTTAGGGCCGAAGGGCGTGGTCGCGCACGTAGCTCGCACCACGGGCCGTACATGCGTATCGAGTATGTTAAGTATAGTCCCTCGAGCATTTCATGTTATTTTGTTCAGTAAATTATGTGTCATGTTCAGTTGTGTATAAGTTGCTGAGAAAAAATCAAGTTCGGTCGTGAAACGGCTTAACGCAGTCGGCGGCGCACGGTGCGCACGCCACGACCGTGTTCAGTTTTATGTGCAAATTTCATGATTTTAAGTAAATTCAGTAAGTATGATCATGTCAGGTCAGCTTATGTCATTTGAAGTTAAATTGCTCGAGAGATGTTGCCGGACGGCCGGCAAGGGCCGGCCGAGGCCACGCTG